GAGATGTTTGCAGCTGGAGAACGCTACTACGACACTGTCATCAAATATTCAAAAAAAAACCTCGAACAAAACGCAAAAATATGGAAAAATGTGAACGAAGGGGACTCGGAGTAAGCAGAAAAATTGTTTTGTAAATAAATAAGGTGAAAATTGAATTCGTCGAAGTATAATAACGCGCCTAAGTATGAATATTTTGCCGGCACTACACGCTCTGCGTTTAAACGTGGCTACTCTGCGCTGGAAGAAATGGAATTCAAGGAACTGAGAAGGGATACTCACGAAACTTCACGGAAAATACGCCCCAGCCCGTCGAACACACGGCAGCGACAAAATAAATGCAAAATGCACTTCCATCTGTGAGGGAAGATGAAACTGACTATGAAGCTTCTTCCACGATCAGAATTACCGTGCCCGGTCACTTAAAACTAAAGTTTTAGTGGGAGAAGAACCAGAAGGCTTAAACGCGGATGACAAAAGAGGCGCCATTGGACACCATCTTGAACCAGTTCCATCCCACTCCGAACACCTCAAATCTGATTCAATTTAATTCAATTCAATTAAATTCAGTTAATTTATTTACGTGTTTACCAACAGCAAGAAGCCTATAACAGGCAAACACTGATAATACATACAATAATAATGAAATAATAAAGAAAAATACTACACAAACAGATTAACTAAACTTATACATGTACAGTATTAAATATAACTGCCAAGTACAGGCAAACCCAAAATAGAAACAATATTAACACAAAGCAAAATAAATGAAGAAATATAAATAAAAACAAATAATCCACCTAGGGAACACTAATATAATTGTAAAACTTTAAAAAATATAAAAAGACAGATAACGAAGCTAGATCATTTCCCTTGTTGAGAACGTTCGCTCAAGGGAGACAATGTTTATGCCAAATACGTCCAAAAATTTACATACGTCATTTGCAGCGATGACGCACCTGGCTGAAGGACTATGTCTTAGTACACTGCTCATCACCTGTCTTAACATAATTCTTCCATCTTCTCGCCAGTCTGCCAATTAACACCCTTTCAAGCAGTTTCTGCACTAATTTCATATATATATTCCTTGTTTTTGCAATTACAATGTATTTATATTGGGGGGACAACTGAGATAATAAAGCTGGCAGGAGTGGCCAAGCATTGACAATAACAGTCTTCACAAATAGCATTCATTTTAATTCCCATAAACATATGTAGTATTGGTAAACGCTGTTAGGTTTGATATTTAAAATCACGGTTTCCACTTCATTAGAATTTAATGGGAATTTACAATTTATTGTAAAACAGCAGATCATTCTAAAACCAGCAGTTACTTTATAACATTCGGAATGTCACACTTACGAGTAATAATTTTGTATTAAACAAGATTCTGCTCATGTGCACATCATAGAACACGGAGAACGCGACCATCGGACCCTTTCTTGAACCTGTCGAACCCAGAGTACACACTCCCACCTCATTTGTCTGCGATCCATTACATAAGATGCTTCTCCCCCCCCCCCGGCCCCCACCAACAACTGTAACGTTTTCCATCCCTTTGCTACGTGACCTCGGTTCTACCCAAACTATGTCATCAGGACCATAAAAATAATGTAATCTAATGTAATTATTAAAGTGTTTGTTGACAGAAAGAAAGCCAATTAAGAACTGCCACTTAAAAGGACTCTAATAAAAACAGAAATGCACACGACACGAGAAAGATACAAATGACAGATAAAACACAACAAGGAGAGAACAGGGCGTACGTCAACGGCTAATGAATATGGCCGACACAGAAGTTTAAACGAAAATATACGGTAATTAAGATTGTGCGATGTTAACAAGCGAAATACAATCCTTGTTTAAAATATCACTGTTCCTGCAAAACAGAAGCACATCTATCTGACGGACAGGCATCAAAGTGGCTGTTCATTAAATTAACAGATTAGCCTCGCAGGAACCAGGAATCAGAACAGAATATACTTTGGTTTGCTTATAAAACGTTGATGATGAATAGGACAAGGAGAGACAACTTACTGAAACGGAGTGACGAAACATTCAAGGTGACGAATTTTCCTCCACATGGAAATGAACCGGAAACCCGTCTGACTGGCAGCAGTGGATGCCTCGCGGCCAAGACCTCGTCCGAACAACTTCGACCGACGAGGATACGAAATCCGCGGTTCACCAGATAAACAAATGAAAATTTAAATTTTAATGGCACTAATAACTGCGCCCTTGGCGACCGTGACAACAGATTAGAGACCGGGAGGTAGTACGGCCGTGGGATTACAGGGGTTAAAACCAAAATAATATAATACAGTTCCAAATTATCAAAATATCGGGACACTCACTCCTACATCTTTGGTGTGTTTTATTTTTATTTATTTTTACTTCCATTTTATTGATACTTTCTAACTATAATTTATATATTTTGCATTTTATTCTCAAAATTCATTTATAAATTCTTTCAAATTCTTTAGTGTTTCTTTCAATCATTTACTTACAGGCCGATATGTACATCTAATAACATTTAAGAAAAACAACACCTTCGCCCAAAAATGGAAAAAACAAACGTAATGAAACATCACCAAAAAAAACTACAGAAATCATAATTGAGTTTTAAGTTCTTAGATATATTTTACACCTGATGATGGTTTTATAAAAACCGAAACATGTTGTGTAAATGTTCCAAAATGTAAATCGATCAATCGATGTGGAACATGAATGATATTTTATTATCTTAATTATAAGAAATTTTAAATATTGTGATCAGACGGATTAAAATAAATAATTATCAAAATATATTAAAAGTAGATATTAAAAAAAGAACATAGAGGATGAAGTCAAACAAAACTCACTCTGCTCAGGCTTCCGGCTGGAATACCGACCAGCAACGTTCGACATATATACAGAACAAAACGCAAGATTGGACCTAGCTCACAACAGGCAGGGAAATTTGACTTCAGGATTTGTCTCTCTCTCTCCGGCGAAGTTCCCTGCACACAGACTGGCCGCCGCACTGCCTCATTGGGCATCGAAGCCTGTGGCTCCAAAGACCGCGAACATGGTGGAGGTAGGCCACTCCGAGCCATGAGCTATTGCTCTTAATAAATGTTATTTTCTGCACCGCTCAATGAGCCTGGTTATACAATGTTTGATAGGGTGGTACGAATTTAAAACTTTCTGCAAGGTAGTAGCTGGCAGCGGAGACACAACGTGGTGTATTTCTCCCATGTGTGCATTAGCAGATTAACTTCTAATGCTCGTAACAATAAAAGGCATCTTATAAGTATCAGAGCTTAGAAAATGTTCAAGATACATAAACCATGTTACATAATGCTATTGATTTCACAGACGCGAAGCTCCTGACGAAAAACTGATAAACTGGGGGGGGGGGGGTGGAGTTAAGACAGGGTTCTGTAACCCTACTCCACTGTCTTTGTTCCCCGCAGAAAGTACGGGCCTGCTCCGCACGTCTTAACACAAATGCAAGATTACGTCCCCGACGCTCGCAACTACAAAGAGAATACTGAAGTCGCGTGTACGAACCTCCGTGGAGTAAATGCGCTTTCGTTCTGAAGTCCGTAATGTGACGTCTTCCTTCACAACTTCAGTGTCTCTCTTTATTCGGGGACGACGCGAAAATCTGCCGGCGGCAACAGTCACTTCTTAAACCTCGGTGTAGACTGGAGGATAACATTAAAATGCATGTCGAATAACTGGATCGCGAAGGGTTTTTTCGTGTGCGGTGGCGTAGGATAGAATTGAAATACATTTTGCACAGCACAAAGAGTGCGTGAGGGTTCAGAGTGAATCCAATTGATCCAGGAAGCCAGGCTGTTGAGAAGAAGGAAATTAATATCCGCATTCCATTAAAGCAGAGCATTCCGTGACCAACTGGCTAACTACAAATTTGACGCGATGCCTCTGAGCCCTGGACGTCACGTGTTATCAGCGGCCGACTGGCTACCAAGCGACCACGTGCGTAACCAATGCAACATGGCCTACGTGAGTGAAACTATGATCGCCTTCACTGAAGTTATTCGTCATATCGCAGATCAAAATATCCACCGCTGTCAAGAAACTCGATTGTTCAACAAAACCATCACAGAAGTTCGCACTGAATTGCACATACCCTCAGCCAGTTCAGTCCAGCTCGCACATCCGTAACGGTCGCCTTCCGATTCCAGTTTAATATTATCCTCTCACTCGCGTTTCATCAAACGAATAGCATCCATCGTTCCACGCGGTTCACCGCCAAATAATTTCCTCTGTCTTTTCTACGTTTCATTTGTCTTCGTCTGCCAACTGCAGAACACAAAATACCACTAATAATAAAGCAACGCCAATCGATCGGCGAGATAAAATGAAAATAATGACTTTTGCTTATCTTAATTTCAAACGAAACGTAATTCGTGACAGCCTTACGCCGTCCTACGTAAATCGTGCGACACTAGTTTAACCCTGAAGAAGGAGGTAGAACGTTCCTCCGAAACGTCAGTAAATAAATCGATAATACGGGCTGTGATGTACTTACTGGCAACTGAAGCACGAGGCCATGACAAGTGGCATTACTATGGAATTCGATGCGATACGTTTGAGACTTGGCGATGAGAGTGGGCGACCAACAAAAGCCATCACATGGATGAACGAAGATTTTGTCCTGCGTCATGACACACATGAACACGACTCCACTGCCAATCTTCTCTAATTGACTAGCAACACGAACGCTCTGAACTTTGGTTGCTTGGTAACGGACGGACGTGGATTATTAAAAAAGTAGGGACTGTGTTATTTATCATCCTACATTTCAATTTTAAAAAAAATACAGGAGTAGTACATTCATCGATATTTGATTGGTGTTGAGAGCGAATTACACGCACTCTCGACCACAGCGCTAGAAGCAAGGACCCGGTCCACTGACGATGAAATGACAAGCCATCAATCAGCGTAAAGTCGTTTTGACAGAACATGCTGTTGCACACACACAGGAGGGGTGGGACGATTAGGAAATTGGGTATAAAATGAAAAATCCACACGTTGAAAAACTGTGAGAGTGTCAAAGGGCAGACTTAAAAAGCAACAACAACCAACAAATCCCACTGACATATTCTCACCTCTTCAATAACACCGAATGCTTTCATTAAATTTTAAATTGCGATCAGACAGCGAAAGTTCCACTGAACGAAAAATGCACCGAGTGACAAGTCTCCATGCAACAGTGGTACGTAGGACGAGGGTCGATGCCACCGGAAGGAAATTATGCACCGACGACTTAAGCAAACACGCGAGAGCCATTCGCCCTTGCTGCTGAGGAAAGCCATGACTGGTGTTTGAGGCAATATTTGGACGTAAGATGGATGG